AAAGGACAGAATGTTTGAGATTTTTTTTTAATTAATTTTTCTTCACCATTTGCCTATATGTATTACTTATTCTGAACCTTCTCTGCTAATTTGGCTGGTTAATGTAAAATAACCGTGTATACATTAAAAAAAAATATATTTTGTATTATGCTATTAACTTTAGTCAAGTTTCGTTATAATATATTCTTAATTATACTATATTCTTTAACGTTAAGCGCCCGGGAATAGAATGAAATCGTGCCTAATTTTTATTAAATTAAACAGTTTTAATGAATGCTCCCAAATATAGGAGTCCGTTTGGATTGGTTTCTAACTTCTTAATGTCTTCCAATTATGTTGAAGGGAGTTACAGGTCACAGCATCTACTTGACATTTGTTACGTTACTTTTACTTACTTTCTTTTTAAATTCAAATAAACTAATTCCGTGAGTGAAGATATCATAGAGAATCAATAGCATGTCATACGCAAAATCAGGTCACAGCTGTTCGTTCAAGTTTGCTAATATTTATTTTCAGACTTTGATTTTGACTTTCATGACAGGGCAGGGCAACATGCCCATTGAACCGCGGGTCTGCGTTTTTTTTTTATTTGAAAGAAGCAAATATTTGTAAACGCAAAAATTATTGGTTTTTCACTATGAGCGAGCAAGGAAAACACCCAGTTCTTTGATATTGCGTCTTCGATTATAACGATTTCACATATTTACGCATATTTAATATGTATTTATTAAAACTGATATTTACGCGACTGTAACAGAGCCTAAAAAGAGAATAATATTTATATTATTTTTGAATGGAAAAAACGAACGAGACTTGAAAGACAATTACATTATGATTTCTTAAATTTACGCGAACACTACACATTGAATAAAACTAAATTTACGGATTTTATCGCGTTTATTTCACTACTTTTACTTATTTTTAGGGGAGTCCCCCCCGTGACCATGGTTGCTGTAAAGCACCCGAAACGTCGGGAATTAAAAATAAGTAAAAGTAGTGAAATAAACGCGATAAAATCCGTAAATTTAGTTTTATTCGACTATTACATTATTAATATTTAATACAAGATAACAAAATTTGATTCAAATGAAACATTCATTTATTTAAAAAATGATTCAATAATTAAAAACAATGCTTATTTCAGCTGTGAATCAAACGAAAAAATAAAAAAATAAAAAAAACACAGTTGCTATTTTATTGAACCAATCGATAGGGTCAAGACTCTACTCGCGTTTTATTTTAATCTATTTTTTTTCAATTCCGATGTTTTGAGTTATCTGCTTTCACGCTCATGGTCACTATGGGACAGTTGTGTACTCTCACACTTTCAGCTTATAAGTAAGTACTTAGTTATTTTAAGTTAACTTAGTGGAACAACTACTAAGAACGCAATTAAAAATGAAGAACTGCTTTTCCATTTAGCAGTCCGTTGAAGTAAGTACCATCCTCTCATCTATTAAGGAGCAGAGCGAGATAGAGAGCCAAGGCCGTGAGACATTCCTTTATGTCTGACACCGCTAAGCGATGCATTGTCAGTCTCGAGGTGACAACGCATCGCTTTGCGGTTAACGTAGCCTTCTGTGCTTGAAGTTAGCTGCAGGTGTTCAGGATCTGCCGTAGCTTACTTACTGGGCTGTAAGTTTGTTTGTCACTTAAGTTAAAGAAAACAGTTTATTTTAAACCATACATTTAAATAAATAAATTACACCATAACTTGTCGTTGATTTTTTTATTTTTTTATGCTTTCACGAAAAATATATCAATCGATTCAATTCGATTTTTTGGGCCACAATGTTTATGTTGCAGGCCTGTATCAAAAAGTTTACGCTATTCAAGAGTCAACACAAAACATGATGCATTTAAATGATTTCTACAAACTCTGAACAGACAATGAAGAATTGCCATAGAATTAAATTACTATCAATTATATATATATTATGTAATATTAGCAACAGCGCGGAAATTACGATGCCGTTTCAATTTTGAAGGATTGCCGCTTTAAAGATTAAATTCAAATAACCGATCTTTAGCACGCTTTAGCTACGAGTGCGGAAATATTTAATGTCGATTCGTTCTCATATATTTGGGCAATCCTAAAGTCCTACCTCGCCTTATTTATTCTGCTTAAAGAAGCTCTTGGTTAAAGACTGATGAATTTAGACGTGACGCTTTTGTTACATTTTATTATTACTTATTTCCGTTGTAGTGTATCCATCAATAGGAAATTGTTGTTGTTGTCGACACTATTTTATTCTAATTCTCGACACTAAATTAAAGCAGTGTGCAAACTATGACAACGTTTTGTTGGCTTAGCGGTTGGCTGTGTAACGTGGGTTCAAATCCCACAAGTATTTGTGTGGAGTGTGTTCGAATCGAGGCTGAAAGAGCAAATTTTTACAATAAATATAATATAAGTAGATTAGATATCGGATTTTATTCTGGCCTTGCCATTGTCTGTGGAAGCCAGAATGCTGTACAAAATGGTCCAAGTTGGACTTAAAAGAAGAAGAATAAAAATGTAAATACAATGGGGGTGGCATTATAATAATTTTATAAAACCCTCTTTAAAAAAAAGATTTAAAGAGAAAGTATTTGTGTGGTATATAATTCTTTTCTGCGCCACCATATAGGAGAAATTATTGATATGTTACTAATGTTTATATTGGTAATTTTATACTATCGCGGTCCCCTCGTTGTTTGGCATTAGAAAATTGAAAAATCATCCGATTTCGATGGTTTTTTTAAATCTTCGTTTTTACGGCGGATTTACGAAAAAAATTACAGGGATAAAAAATTAAAACCTTTATTGGTTTCAAGGCTTTAAATATTTATGAAAATGCACTTATTCTCGTATAATTGTTGATAACTACTTTTAAAATAATCGAATCAAGTTTTAAGTATTTTTTTTTCATAATCTACACAAAAAAACGAACATTAAAAAAGCATTGAAAAATGTTTGTTTATTAATTTTTCATTTTGGTGTTTTATTGAGTGTAAGATCGAACGAAGCGAGATCGGGACTTAGGGCATCCCGACTCGGACAGGTTAGGTTAAGGTGCAATTCCGTAGCCGACTGCAGCAGGCGACGTGTCCCCACGACATGTCGTTGCGACATGTTGCTGCGGTCATGATTCCGAACCCGACTGCAGACGGCAACAGCCCGTGTCCAGTGTTGCCACTTATTACTATATTACACACCAATTTTAAGGATTAGATAGTGATAATCTGAAAAAAAAATCACTGAAAAATTATTTGATGACTTTTAGTGATATTTATTGAATGTTGTGCTTTGGATCCAGGGTAAACTTTGCCGAGTAAAGCATACCTGTTTCGGAACGTAGCTTTAGACGTCTTTGTTTGGTTATGCTTGGGGATTCCCCAACTAATAAATCAAACCTAACACTTATGTTAAGTTTATAAGAGTGAGTGCTGCATACTATTGCTTGTATTTAGTTAGTTGCTAGTTTTCGTTTGTGAAAGTAGGAGACAATTCTTATCGAAATCATTCAAGTAAAAATCTAAAGTTTTTGTGTGGGTTTTGTGTAGTATTTATTTCGCGTGATCATGGACGTGTCACTGAAAAAAAGACTTTTTATTCTCAAAAATATCGAAAAGAATGGGAAACCCACGAAGAGTTCAAGATTTGGTTACGGCCTGTAGCAAACGATCCTACAAAAGCCTTTTGTACTTTTTGTCATTGTGAAATGTTTGCAAGAATTGGCGACATTAAGAAACACAGAGCAACAAAAAAACATATAGATAAATCTGACTTAGTGTCTAAAAACCGACAAATTGAATTTCTGCCCACTTCTAAAAATAATACAAAGTCCCTGTTCGTTGTAGAACTTGTAAAGAAAATGTTAGAAAATGTATTACTGATTCAAAGAGTGTTATGGACATGAAAATGTATAGTACGAAATGCTGTGCAGTAATAAAGAATGTGTTAGCTCCTCACTTGAAACAGATGCTATTGGATGATATTGGATCACAAAAGTATAGTGATATAGCACTATTAGATGAATCCACTGACCTCAGTGTATCGAAATTATTGGGGGTAGTAATTAAATATTTTAGTTGCACGCAAAATAAAGTTGTATCTGCATTTCTAGCATTAGAACCACTGAGGAGCGCGGATGCTCGTGGAATTGTTACTGCCTTGGTAAACTGTTTACAGGCACATGGTATTCTATTAAAAAACTTAATTGGAATTGGAGTGGATAATGCCTCTGTCATGACTGGAGTCAATAATGGCGTGCATAATATTTTAAAAACGGAATATGGCGCCTAATTTAATTCTAGTCAGATGTGTTTGCCACTCATTGCAATTAGCGGTGTCACACGCATCAGAGCAAACGTTACCGCGAAATATAGAGTTTCTCATTAGAGAAACCTATAATTGGTTCTCACATTCACCCAAACGCTGTGATGAGTAAAAAGATATATATGAGACAATAAATTGTTGCGATCAGCCCTTAAAAATATTGCGGTCTTGTGATACTCGTTGCCTGTCCATTGAAGAAACTATGACCAGAATATTGTCTCAATGGGAAGGACTCAAATTGCATTTCTCTTTGAACAAAGATAATTGCTACACAGCGCAATTGCTTCATTCGATGTACGACGATGAGAGGAATCGCCTTTATATGTGTTTTTTAATGAGCATCTTGAATGACGTCCAAATTGGAGTAAAGAGTTTTGAAAGTGAAGACTCAAATCCAGTTGCCCTACTGAACACGTTAATGACATTGCTTTGCTCTATTTGCAATAGAGTGCTGATGCCGACGGCTGCAACGACTGAAAATGATTATTTGTCCATTCAAATAGAAGCCCACTTGAATCCGGTACCGTATTTAGGATATTTTTTTGAATCACAAGTATAAAAGACCACTTTACCCAATGATGTCATTAATGCAGTCAGGAAACGTTGTATTGATTTTACAGTCATATTAGGAAAACAGATTCAGCAAAAACTTCCTTCTAACTACATTATTTTGGAGAAAATGTGTCAATTGAGTGTGGAAAATACTCTTCGCCGGGGCAAAGACAACAAAATAGCAGACCTTGCCGCGGAACTCGGATTCGATGATGAAGCAATAGACAAACTGTTACAGCAGTGGCATGGTATAAATTATGTTAAATGGAATGCTACACATAATGTCATTGATTTCTGGGCTGAATTGCGAAAATATACGAATGCTGCTGGAATAAATACCTTTCAAGAGTTATCTGATCTCGCTATATCCGCATTGTCACTTCCTCACTCAAATGCTGAAGTGGAAAGGGCATTTAGTGCTATGAACATCGTGAAAAACAAATTAAGAAACAAAATGGCTGTAAACACCCTAAATAGCATTCTTTTTATAAGAAATCAGTTAAAAATAATGAAGAAGAACTGTTACAGTTACGAGCTCTCGGCTGATGTAATTACTGCTATGGAAGCAAATCTAAATACAGTACTAAATCAAAAAAATCTGACAAAACTGATGTTCCATCTCAGCCGTCTACATCTGCAATAATAATCGATCAAGATGAAGAAGAATTACCAACAGAAGTATTTGAAGTTGATTTTTAGTATTGTCATGTTTATTTTCATTCATTGTATTCACAATTAAAATATTATTTTTTGATTTACCTTGTGATTTAATTATAATGATTTAGTGAATTCTGGGGATTTTTTTAGTTAAAAATATCGTTAAATCTGGTGAAATTTCAGACCAAAACTAGTGAAAAAGTTTTCTGCAAGGTGGCAACACTGCCCGTGTCCAGTCTGTTCCGAGTGTTCAGTGGGACATGATGTCTGATGTGTTTGAAATTAGCGATCGCGATTTATTTTTGTATCCTTTATTAGAAGAGGAGGAAGATGATGATGACTTGCTTTTATTATACAAGTATAAAGAGAAAAGACGGAAAGACACACGTCCTATGTTGAAATGCAGAGGAAGTGAGGGAACGTACAGTGCGGGATATTGGATCACCTGGTTTATCAGTTTCTGTTCCTCGGGATCGGTGAAACTCATTTTTAAGAAAAATTTAACGTGTTGTCGCTCGGGCGTTGGCGGCACTACTGATCTCAGATCAGTGATCTATCTGCGGTCGGGCTACATTGTCGTCTGCCACTAGGCAAACGACGTGTCGCTAGCTACGGAACGTATTTCATAGAACTACATAGTAAGCAGTTGTGTCGCGACAACTGTCTGCAGTCGGCTACGGAATTGTACCTTTAGAAGGATAAATATGGCGGGGTCGAGTGAGCGAGCGAATAGATCCCGCCATCTCCTTCTAACCTGTCCGGTCGGATGCCCTAAGTCCGAGCTCGCTTCGTTCGATCTTACACTCAATAAAATACCAAAATATTAACTTTTATAATTATTTCGATTTTCTAGAGCGTTTATGATAACATTTAAAGTCAGAAAACCATATAAAAACTTTAAGTTAGATAAAAAATTAATAAACAAACATTTTTCAATGATTTTTTAAAATGTTTGTTTTTTTGTGTAGATTAACAAAAAAAAACTTCGTTTAATGCTTTGCAAAAAAGTTATGAACAATTATATTCGAAGATGTGCTTTTAGTATTACATTTAAAGTCATATAGTTATTTTCCATATTTTTTTTTCATAAATCCGCCATAAAAACGAAGATTTAAAAAAAATCATCGATGATTTTTCGATTTTCTAGAGCCAAAAAACGAGGGGACCACGAAAGTATAAAATTATCTTTGTATTAAATATAGATAGTAAAATATTTCTCTGGAGTACAGAAATGAAATTTTGTTGTTTATTACAAATATGAACTGCTCTTGTTTCTAGACTAATAGTTTTGGAAAGGTTTATAATAATTTACAATTTGTTTCAGATTGGGTCACTTAAGGACTATTATTTGCTTTCACATCACGAGATTCACAAGCGTTCTACGGAGCCAAGTCATGAGCACCATCGCAAGTTGAACAATGAACCGGAGGTAAGAATAAGATTAATAAACGTCTATGTAATTGAGTTACAAATTCTTAACTGTAAACATTTTAACTATTACTCGTAGGGCCCGGACTGAGCAATATCGTAATTTAACAACTTAAAACTTTTTTGAAAATGGTGTGAACGGACCAACAGCCCATCCGTTGGTAGGCCACTGTATAATACTGTGTCTATGATAAAACTGTGTCTATAATAGTCATCTCCCCAAATAAAAAGAAAGGAAACTACAGATGCCTTATTACACCCGAGGGCTTAGATGTTACTCCACAAATCACAAGTTTGTTTGTACGAGTATCTGTGTTGTGACTATCCGTGGACAGTGTCTCTTACAACTGCAAGCTAGGCTTCCTCCGGTCTTACTGCATTATTGATACGTCGGAAAAAGGTCAGTTATTGCCGTTATCACATTGTTTGAAAATCGGACACAATGATCGTCATTATCATCATCAATATCATTATTACTAAACCATAAAGATATAAAAAATATACGCAGTCGTAAAATATTAAAAAAAACTTTTGGTAAATCCAAATGCGTTTTTAAGTATTTTTAAAATACATACAAGTTTTCACAAATAACCTGATTACTATTACTTCTAATTTTCCGATAATTTTATATCAAACGTCAATAAAAAAAATTGGAAAATCCAAGAGTGCACGACTCGTAATCAGTGTTGCCAACATTAAAATCTAGCTCCCGTTGTAGAGAACACTATAATTCCGTCAAATCCCGTCAAGTACTGTAGACAAGTGTCAATTATTCATTTCTTTCGCGTACTGGTACGTTCGGATCGATCATTCAAATGGATCCAGTACTCTGTTGAGTCTGTGAGATCCATTGGGAACTGAACATTTTATATTTGAGATTTGTAATAGCGCCATCTACTACATGATATAGGTAATAAAGTAATTCTATCGAACTAAAACTTATTGACTTTCAAGGATATCACAGGTTCACAGCATATGCGACTCAAACAGTAAAGAGAGAAAATGAAATAAATAGAGTAGTTGATAGTTTTCTATATATTTAACAGTAGCGCATCATTTTGGCCGACCAACGACAATAAACAGTTTTCGAGCTGTATTTAAAAAAAAAACTACGTCAAATGAAAATTTACTCTCTCAATTTTTTAAAGATAAGAATGTATTGCACATTTTTTCGTATTTTTAAACTAAAAAAATGAAAACAAAAACAACACAAACAATAAAAAAACGTAAATTTTTGTTGTCCCGTTAAAAATCTGTTACTCGTTAAACACAATTTTTTCCCGTTGCCAACCTCACTGTGCCTTCAAATCTAACGGGAATCCCGTCAAGTTGGCAACACCGCTCATAATGCTCATATGATCGTGTAAAAATGTAGAAAAAAATTTCAATCATCAATAGAAAATATTTAATTTTTATTTTACTATGTTATTGTTATTTAAATACAAAAAACTTTGTATTATTGTTAATTGAAACAACTTTTAACAGAATTATCTTGAAAATCAGAAATCAACTTTAGGTATTGCTACTCAGGCATAATTGTAAAAACTAGTTTTTTTATCTGACTCGTTAATATGTTTTTTCTCGTCAACTTTGTTTCGTTTCCAAAAAGTTTTTCATCTAGTCATAATCAGTATTTTGATTCCATCGAAATTTGGGCGGTGCTACAGTCCCTTCAGCGGTTCCAAGTGGGCTACGATGGCAATCCGAGTACAGAACAATAGTACGAAACCTATCCAACTGCAGAGAGGTCTGAGACAGGGTGACGTTATATTCCCGAAACTCTTCACCGCTGCATTGGAAGATGTTTTCAAGCTACTGAACTGGAAAGGATACGGTATTGACATCATAAAAGTATATCTATATAATATAATTCCTACGTACTTTTGGTGAAACTATATATTGTAATGAAAATCTGTGATTATAAATATAATAATAATATCTTACCTTGGTCAAGTATGTATCAAATTTGGTTTTTGGAATATTTTGTATTTCTACAGCGATCGATATTTTTCATCACGTAAACAAACTATACAGTAATCAAAGTGTGTCAAAGTTTATCTATATTTAGTTAAATATATTATTCCAAGGCTACCTAAGCACCGAAATTTTCGGAATTTCTCATCCGAAAAAAATTAATTATAACTAAACAAAACAAAAGTAAACATCCATTTACATTGCATGGCTTCCCACATGATAGATGAAGAGATTAAAAAATAGATTGAGTTGAATAATTGATATTTTTCAAAGTTATCATGCTTACCCCTTCATGCGGACTTGATTGGCGTTACTAGGGCCAGCATTCGAGTTTATTATTACGTTTGTTACAGCACCATATTATTGCATTGTTATCGAAGTTAGATTAATAAATGTTCTGAATCTCACTTTACCCGTTGCCAGCAAGTACTTCAAAAATAATTGATTACAAAGTTTGAACCGGAAAGACGTACGCATAAAGCAATTTAATGAAAAGTTTTAAAACACATATTCAAGTCTCAAATCTAAATAACCACGGTAAACACAAAATAAAACACCTAAAATAATTGAAAATTGTTGAAATGTTAAGCTATAATTTATTGTAAACATACCTTATTAACTGTCAATTTCATACATTACGCATAGATGTACGCATAGATGTTGTACATCTATGCGTAATGATTGAAATTGACAGATAAAATATTTTAGGTCAAGTAACCTTAGTATTTAAATAAGAAATTGACTTAAATGTAAGAACCGATTTTAGAGTTCAACGACGTTGTTTGGATTTTTTCTAAAGTTTTCTTTGGTTTTACTTTGTGTTGTGTGTGTGTGTGGTATAATTATCTATTTTCATATAATAAAATTTTAAGTAAAGTTTTCAATATTACTAATATTCACTTTGACTACTCCAAATAAGATGACTCCAAATAAGATGATAAGATTTCAGATGCTTGTTGGAAGTAGTGGGTTTGAGTTTATTACTTTTTAAGTTTACAGCTCATACCCTAATCGTTAATAAGCTATAAGCTATAATTAATAAACTAATTCCTATATTAGGTTCGATGGTTCCAACAACAGCGCGAACGGCGGAGAGTGAAGCGTGATTACACACCACGAGAAAGTGCGTTGTGGTCGCAGTTTAATCGCCGGATACCTTCACATCGGACCAGACATCGGGCGCTCTCTCCCTCCCCCTTTTTTCCTGATCCATTATTTAAGGAGCAGTGGTATTTGGTAAGCTATATATATCATAATTATTTTAGCCCTTTGTAAAGTCACTAATTAAATATAGGCCTGTACTAAAGTCATTCATATAACATCATGTATTGATTAGAAACTATTTACATCAGGTCGTCTCTTACCATATTTTTATATTAAAGTGAAATAATAAACGAATCCACAGTCCATCTTGTGGTAAGTGACTTCTGCTGAGCATGGTCCTGCAGTCAACATCAAACAAAGAAGGTTACAGAAGCGTTGTCACCACTAAGGGCTAAGATAGAATATACACTCTGTTATTACACTGATCTCTATACAAATGTACAGAGATCAGTGTAATAACAGAGTAATAACAGACAATCTAACAGAGCGAAACACAGCATTGCATGCACTGCTACTAGGCAGCAGACGTAGGTAAGAAAGTGGTTCTTTACCAGACGGAATCCTACGCAGAAAAGGAGTCCTACTGCCTAGTGGTATTAAATATACACCGTAATCATCAATTGCAGCCCTTAATCATCTGCATTTACCTTATTCTTAGTTGATTTAGCAAATTGTAACTCTGTTACCTATAACTGCCTTGGCATAAATGTGACTTTACATTAGATTGTCGGTCATTTACCAAGGCGACTCGCATTTTTCATTCTGTTCCCCGTTCTTGGTTTGAGCTAGATCGTTATACCGCCGTCCTCAGCAATCGTAAGATCTTCCCGGCATTTCCTATTCTCGTATAATACGCACTCACTGGATAAAATGGTTTTGCGTTTTCTCTTACTCTGTCACCACATTGCATCATATAGATTGGATTATATTCTCTCATTTCACTATTATTATTTTTACGTACTTGGCATTAATCTCGTAGATTTTTGAAAATAACTACATGATTACGTTATTAGTCAAATTATTCTCCTAAAGTGAAAGTATTTTATAGAATGGAGGAGCTAAGGATGGGCTGGACATGAATGTAGCATCGGCATGGCAAAGAGGCTATACTGGGAAGGGTATTGTTGTTTCTATCCTCGATGATGGAATCCAAACCAATCATCCTGATCTTGCCCAAAACTATGTAAGTAAATACTTGTTTTAATATTGATTAATATGTACTTCTCTTTTTATTCTCATATCATCTCTTACACACAGTATCTAGTCATCGTATTGATATTTAATTATTAATCTTCATAGGACCCTAACGCCTCAACGGACATTAATGGTAATGATGACGACCCCATGCCACAAGACAACGGAGATAATAAGCATGGCACTAGATGCGCCGGAGAGGTTGCCGCAGTAGCATATAATCAATATTGTGGTGTTGGTATAGCTTACAATGCAAGTATAGGTGGAGTACGGATGTTGGATGGCGTTGTAAATGATGCGGTTGAAGCTAGAGCTTTGGGTTTGAACCCAGATCACATTGATATATACAGTGCCTCATGGGGACCAGAAGACGACGGAAAGACTGTTGATGGTCCTGGACCATTAGCTCGGCGGTAAGATTTCATTATTTGTACAAAGTATTGCTTTAATTACACTTTTATTTATTTATTTACATGCTTCTTTTTTAGGGCGTTTATTTACGGTGTAACTAGCGGTCGTCGTGGTAAAGGGAGTATATTTGTTTGGGCATCAGGAAACGGCGGAAGACATACTGACTCTTGTAACTGTGATGGCTATACAAACAGTATTTTTACATTATCAATTTCGAGCGCTACGCAAGGTGGATATAAACCTTGGTACCTTGAGGAATGCTCTTCTACTCTTGCAACTACATACAGTTCCGGCACACCAGGACATGATAAAAGTGTAGCTACAGTTGATATGGATGGACGATTGAGACCTGATCATATATGTACAGTGGAACATACAGGTACATCTGCTTCAGCTCCTTTGGCTGCTGGTATTTGTGCGTTAGCTTTAGAGGCAAATCCAGATTTGACGTGGCGAGATATGCAATACTTGGTTGTACTTACATCACGACCGCAACCGCTAGAAAGAGAAACTGGCTGGCTCGTCAATGGAGTTAAGAGGAAAATTAGTCATAAATTTGGATATGGTTTGATGGATGCGACAGAGATGGTAAATTTAGCAGAACAGTGGGTGTCGGTACCACCACAACATATATGTAAATCGCAAGAGATTAACGAAGACAAATCCATAGAATCTTCATATGGATACACATTAAGTGTTCATATGGATGTAAATGGGTGCAGTGGAACTGTGAATGAAGTTCGGTATCTAGAACATGTTCAGTGTAAAATATCATTAAGATTTTTCCCTAGAGGAAATCTGAGAATACTTCTAACTTCTCCAATGGGAACAACTTCGACACTTTTATTCGAAAGGCCCCGGGATGTAGTTAGTTCCAATTTCGATGATTGGCCGTTCTTAAGCGTACACTTCTGGGGAGAACATGCTGAAGGCAGATGGACTTTGCATATCGTAAATGCTGGAAATAGGCATGTTAACCAACCCGGCATTCTTAAGAAATGGCAGCTAATATTTTACGGTACTTCAGTTGATCCAGTAAGACTACGAAGCAAAAGACCATCAGCTATCGCACCTCCTTTCGCATTCCCTACAGCCGTTGACGGCTATGATTCAGCTGGGGATTCTTTTTACAATACTGACGCATTTGCCAACTACCAAAACTTTCCCAGTTTATTCGCAGCCGGTTCAGATCCGGAGAAAGCGATAGCCCAACTCGACGGACATAATGTCCCTTCACCGCATGGGGAGAATGTTCTCGCTGATAGTAATGACAAACGCGTCCTGCATGAATGTGACCCAGAATGCGATGCCCAGGGCTGCTATGGAAAAGGACCTACCCAGTGTATAGCATGCAAGCACTATCGCCTTGACGATGCCTGCGTTTCTCGTTGCCCCCCACGTAGTTTCGCTAACCAAGGCGCAGTGTGTTGGCCTTGTCATGAATCTTGCGAAACGTGTGTTGGTCCTGGACAGGATTCTTGTTTGACTTGTGCTCCAGCGCATTTACTAGTCGCAGATTTGGCTGTATGCCTTCAACAATGCCCCGACGGCTATTGGGAGGATAGTGAGTCGTCAGTTTGCCGGCCTTGCGCTGCTCACTGCTCCACGTGTTCGGAGAGAGCGGACTCTTGTACGTCCTGCGAACACCATTTAGTTCTTCATAATGGAACGTGTCTGGCGTCTTGTCCGCCTTCGTATTTTGAAACTGAAGACTACGCGTGTGTCAAATGTCATTCATCGTGTGACACTTGCGAGGGTTCTGGTGCCGCCCAGTGTATCACTTGCCATCCTGCAAGTTATGCGCTAGAAGGAAGATGTGTTAATGCTTGTCCCACTGGCTATTATGCTGATAAGAAAAGAAAGGAGTGTATGAAGTAAGATTGTACTGATTCAACTTTAATATAATGGTTTCAACTTATATTCTGATACTATAGCTTTTCGTTTTTTTAAATTAGATGTCCAGTTGGTTGTTCAACTTGTATAAGCGCGTTATGCATGTCATGCGCTGAAAATTGGGAACTGAATAAAAAAGGTAAATGTGTCCCCGTTGGTGCGGAGAGATGCAGTACAGGGGAATTCTCCGATGGCACCAACTGTAACCGCTGCCACGACGCCTGTGATTCCTGCTATGGAGATGACGAAAGCAATTGCTTAACTTGTCCTTCGCCGAATCTTTTGGAAAACTACAAGTAAGTTTCAGCAATTTTATATCGATCAACGATCATCTTATTGCGGTCTTTTTCGCATAGAGAATAATTTTAATTTTCAAGTGAAAGTCCAAATTCAGATATATCTCTACATGTTGAAACCCGTAGAATCCAATTCTACTGTTTTCAAGGATGTATATTGTGTATGTATACATTCGTACGTAGGGAAATATTTTCGTTTTCCATATTTAGGTAAAAAAAATGACAATTAGTAGTTATCAAAACTAATTTTATTTAACGCTTAATTGCAATATAAATACTCGATTATATTTTCCTTAAAATTGATTATGAAATTTATCAAACAAGGATAACTTAAGCTTATATCTAATAGGTGTGGTACGAGTAACGCAATGTATAGATTTGATAATCACCTAGGTACATGACAAATTATGTTGTTATATTTATACATTACATAGTTTTATGATTAAATTCTAAATATTGCCTTAATGATATGTAACCACGGTAGGCATTATGATGGAACTAATAGTGTTAATAAAAATAGTTTATGGCTTTGATCAAGTTCCTTAATTTTTAGTACGAAGGCTACTTACATGCAAATATTTTTTGCTCATTCCATGAAATATGGCCAAGCTGCGAACTAATTCTTCTTCATCTCGTAGGTCCGTTGCATCCCATAGTAATCTCGTAAGAGATCGCTTACCCTTACCGTTACAGCTTGTTAAAGTCCACTACTGAACATAGGCCTCCCCCGTAGATTGACTCATAGGGGAGATATTTGCCACAGTTGCCACGTTTGGCAAGCGGGCAACCGCCGTTTCCAACATTTTAAGTTGTTATTAGGAAGTCGCTGCTGCCCAGGCCTGCGACTTGGAGCAGCGTTAAATGTGCGTCTGCCACTGCGGTCGTCAATTTGTCCGCCAAGCGTGATATAAGACAAACCCTACAACGAGAAGGGCCTATGTCCAGCAGTGGACTTCTACTAGTTGATGATGAATAGAAGAATATTTGTGATGATTGATTATTATATAATATTCTGGTATTATCGACAGCCTATTTGATGATACCCATAGTAATGCTTGAAACATATTTTAGGTGCGTCTCAGAATGCAGTCGAGGTTTCTACTTGGATGCGGGTAGATGTACGCGTTGCATTCACGGTTGTTCAGAATGCGTTTCAAGACTTAACTGTACTGCTTGTACCGGCTCGTTACGACTCCAGTCCGGCGCTTGCAGGACTTCGTGTGCTGATGGGTGAGTTCGACTATAATAAAACTTGTAGAATACATAACTGGTTGCCTAGTAAGTGGAACAAACCGGACCGACCGTCGGTGCGTACGTCGGTCGCGCTTGCCTTTTGTATGAAAATTCACAAATCGTTACAGAGCTCGAACGACCGTACGCACGCGTATATAGCTACGCACTGCGTACGAGAACCGTCGCGTCGGTCGACCGACGCGCTATGGAAACTTAATGACGCGTTCAGAGCTAAACCGACCGTACGTATGCGTGTACAATCATCGTCAAGAAACATCGAACCTAAACTTTAATAATTTTGTATGATTTTATAGGTATTAAGTTGTGTTAGTGATTTAAGTAATTTTTATCAAACATGGCATATGTCGACACCGAACGAACACCATTGAACAATAACTTAAAACACAGAATGTTTTAAGTTGTCTTGTAATTTCACTGACAATTCATCAAAACTTTTGATTGACATTCTCAAAAAATTTTCTTCATCTTCTCGCAATAATGAATATAAAGTAGTAAATTCCCCTTGAAGTACTCTTTGGGCGACGATTGGGTGAACCTGATATCTACGTATTCTGTACCTTATACGTTTACGAACATAGTAAGCAGCAATTAAACAATTAACGCGTCCATTTCGTGTACCTGTTTGTGACTGTACCAGTCCGGCCAGTTTCGTTGCTCAGGAAAGCTCTGAACGCTACAAACTGACGGTCGGTTATGCTTCGTATTGTCAGGACCGATGGTACGCACTAATGGTCGGTCGAGCTGACAAACACTTGTATTAGAAAGCTCTTTATTTATTAGTGATGTAATACATCATTCATTACAGCTCATAAACAGCTCGTGCTGAGTATTGCCTCCTAATAGTTTTCCTCATGAGGGAGATATTTGTCATAGTTGTCACGCATATTTGGGTCTTATATTATGAAGACGCCCGTTTTCTGGTTTGTTTTCTGTGTAATCGTTTGCTAACATAAAATATTACAAGTTTTTCTTTCTGTCAAAAAGGTACTTTAACAAAATCAAAACTAACAGAAAATAAATTGCGTATCAATAAACCGCTTTTAGTTCAAACAAGAACTTAATTTTTTCTTTGTCGTAATTCTGCCATCCTACCAGTTATTATAAATCTGGCTGGAGTGATCCCTAAGTTTTTGTAATTAAAAGAAAATTATGCTAGCCCTTGCGAAAATCACGAAGAATGCACTTTATTGGGCTGATTACCATAGTTTACATCTTTGCTAGAAGCCAAAAGCTTCTGATCCTACTACTATTTTATTTTATTTTTTAAAATAAGGGCCACAAACGAACACACTGTCCACCTATTGATAAGAATATTCTGTGGCTCATAGACATCTACATTTAAAGTCGATTAAAAATTAAAATTCAGATGATCGAATCGGAATCGAGGCATTCCATCTTAGTTCTTAGGGGTGACAACGAACTTGCATTTTGATACTTAATTGAGGATAAATGTTGATGTCCATGGGCCACAGCATCCACTTATCATCAGGTGAACTGTGTGCTCGTTTATCACCCAATGGTATGAAAACAGCAGCTTTCGTAATTTTCTTACCATGTCTTTTAAATATTTTGTGTCAGATACTACGCGGATCGCGGCACATGTTCTAAGTGCTACTTATCATGTCGGACGTGTATCGGGCCGCGTCGGGATCAGTGTGCCTCGTGTCCTTCTGGCTGGAGGTTGGCTGCCGGCGAATGTCATCCGGAATGCCCGCAAGGTAACCGTTTTTTCCGCCTCAGGCTTTCAAAATTATCTCTCTACAGTCGAACATTTTCTTGAGTTACCAATTATACACGATAATTTTTAGTTATTTGTACACATCACAATTTTAAACATACAAAATAATATTAAGAGAGGATATAAACGTAATGTAGGAATTGAACTATCAATTCTGTTCACACTGGTCACACACACACGGTTTTCGGACCCAACCGGCTGATGAAGCTGGAGACATTTTTGACAGTCTATGGAAGGCGACTGTACATGTACACGATGGACATCAACGAAGCTTTTATTGTGATTTATTATTTTAGAATAACAAAGAAAAAAGTGAAGAACAGAAAAGTTTTGGTCCCAAAGAACACCTCTTTTTAAAGTTAACCAGTGTAATCAAATCTTCAGGATTTATAGCATTAAGTTATGTTTACTACGTACTAGAGAAGCTATTGCAAACAAAAAATGTGCGCTACTCTTTGTGCGATATTCAAAAAAAAAAAAACAAAAAATGTGCGATTTTCGCGCATGCGCGTGAGACAATAGTCGTGTTTTTTTTTTGCGCGCGAAGCAATTAAAGGGCTACCCTATACGTAGGGAGGCGGAAAATGCATTACGCATACCACGATAGCCGGTCTATTGTGGTTATGAGGGACTCACATCCTACCGGGGACCCTAAGTGATACCCTCTAAAAACCGCCTTTGGGGACAGGCAACCGGCTGATTAAGCTTTATTGTGCCTTATCATGAGCGACCCTCTTTTGGGAAAAGAGGGCGCAGGGTAGAGTCGTGTCTATCTACTGCGCTTATATAAGCAAGCGTTCTCTTTGTGCGGACGGTTTTTTTTGCCATCATAGATTATTACCTACGTAGAATGATCAATGTATGTAAAAATTGTTTATAGAGTGTTAATTTCATTTTATTGTTAATTATATCGAGTATTTTTTCTAAATTTTCACTTATTTTACATATGTGTTAATTCAATATGAATTTACATAATATTATGTCACAATTACATTTAAATTATATTATTTGAATATTTTAAAAGGTAGCTGTAAAATATAATGCCATCAAAAACATATAATGGATTGACTTGGCCATCGCATGAAAACACAATGTCTCACAAGTAATACATATACTAAATTAGATTGCTTAGTGCGATTGCCAAGTCAATCTATATATATAAAACATAAAAGATTTTTAACATTGATATGGTCACTATAAAATGTTGTTAGGTCAGCTAATTACGTAATAACTTAAAACAGAAGGACCCTTGAGTGGGGACTGAATAAATTAACTGACTTGGTATTACATGGATCTCACAACTTTTTACGGTAGAAAACTGAGTTGCGAGACTTGTTTTTTTTACAAGTTATGTTTTTGATGGCATCTCATTTCTTATTGTAGATAGGATTGTACTACTTTTTTTCCTTTCCGGTACCTTCTATTTCTTGTATACCAACAACGTCCCTGTCTACACTTATCATTCATATACTGAATCATTTACTGCAAATGTAACTTTGTAATTCTATATATTTATATGAGATTACAAAGTTATTTATGCAGTTGGTATATCTAGAAAACTGGACGGAAATTGATAAATATTTTAGTTTTTCCTTGATTTATACACTAAACAGTAATTGTATTCTAAATTTGAAGCTTCTATGTCTGCTTGAAGTGCCTTAGAGTTTTGATGATCGGTCAGTCAGTGAGTGACAAATTTTGAATGAATTTAATTGAATGAAATTTGAAATATACTATGTTTATACAATGCCTACTCGGTTACTTAAAATTCATCCGCCGTACAGCCCCGACCTAAGCCCTAATGATTTCTATACTTTCCCTAAAATAAAGAATAAATTGTGTGGACAGAGTTTTTCATCACCCGAAGAAGCTGTGGACGCCTACAAAACGGCCATTTTGGAGACCCCAACTTCCGAATGGAATGGTTGCTTCAATTATTGGTTCCATCGTATGGAAAAATGTGTCAAATTTCGCGGAGAATACTTCGAAAAGCAATAAATACATTTTTAAATAGTAATGTTGTGTCACTTCCTTGATTCCCGAAATTTTCAGTGCCGCCCTCGTACACTCTTTATCATTCTTGAGGCTAATAATATAGCCCGACAGTTTCATTATGATAAAGCTTGAAATATATATAGGCTTAATTTGTTGTTCTATTTCTATAATCAGGCTTCTACCAAAGTGTAGGCGGCTGTCGTCGCTGTCATCATTACTGCAGGGAGTGCGATGGATCGGGCCCGTTGCACTGCAAGTCGTGTCCGCCCCGCTTCATGCTCGATGGCGGGCTTTGTATGGAATGCCTTGGCTCTCAGTACTACGAGGCGAGCAGTGGATTATGTCGCGGTTGTCACAGTACTTGTCGCACGTGTTCCGGACCGGGGAGGTTCAGCTGTACGGCTTGCTCTAGGCCGCTTCGACTAGACAGGTTTGTATTATAGATTCTTTATCATCAATTGTTAAATCTCTGCTTTTAATATATTTAAAAGTTGAATTTTATGTATGAATTTTTCATATTAATAATGTCTTCCAGACCAGGTTTGGTCACGGCGACCAGTCTTGACTGAGACTTAGATTTACAAAGATTTAGATTAGTAACATTACAGTCAGATGGCATGAAAATCGGACTCGATTAACGGCTTTACGTGCTTTCCGAGGCACGAATGTAAAACAAATGTAACTTCCGGCTCTCAAAACCAACTTCAAACTCCTGGCTGCTACTAATAATTTTTTGGCAGAAACCCCTAATAACTGATATTTGGCCTGTACCCGGAATTCCAACCCGGAATCATACGATCAGCAGTCGCAATTACAATCACAAGGCAAGGAGCTCATGCTGTACATTTTATTAACCTACACTACTTACTTATTTCTGCTAGCAAGCACCCACCCACTGCTGTGTACCGGCTTGAAGGCTAAGAGAGCTGATATATTTCTTTAATTAAATTATAAAGTTGCCGGATCGGTCGCAAAGTAGCTAAGTATTTGGCTACGCCGGTCTGGGTTCTATATTTGTGTAATATATAAATAATTTTTTCGAGTTTAATTGTTTGTCAATATGTACTTAATGTGTGTAAACGCCTCTACGATACAGGAGGAATTTCTAGTGTGTGAGTAACGTTTTAAAAACCGAAGAAAAAATACTATCATGGATGACCGAATGTTTGCAGATGTTCATGGGCTTCAGATCGTTTATTATAGCCTCGTTGGTGTATTGGTAGTAAAAGCTTACAGGTTATGAGGTTACGAGATCAAATTCTAGGTCTGACTAAAAATCAATTATTATTTTTCTGTTAAGAAACTCTCAGTAGCAGATCGGAGTCAGGAATTTGGCGGTGTTTTCTCCCGTCTCTCGGACAGTATATTAAGCCGTTGGAAAGCACGCCTGATCTCTCTTTGCTCGTATGTAGTTGCGGTTCATTGGGTCTATGAGAATCCGGAAATAGAGAAAGCACATGTAGCCACGCGTACACTCGTTTACTGTATCCCTGTTCTGTGTAAATAGATATTCTCCTATACAGAAATTCGGTTTGGATCCCATTATTAAAGTTATTGGTCGTTTTTCATTCTATTAAAGCCAAATGGTGCGTTATAAAGGGTATTTTTGAAACGCTCCCGAAAACGAAGACAAACGATAGTACGAAGGCTACCTTTGATGATGGTATAAAAAGATAATCGACCCCGATGAAAAAAATCATTTTTACAACGTTTAATTAGCTTTATTCACGCTCCTAAATGAAGCGATAATTTCATTAAAAAAATCATGAAAATACTTAAATATAAAACTAGCAGTAAGACATCAATACTTAAAATCTAGCTGACAAAGGTTATTGTACGCGCGACACCGAATCCGCTCGGCTTGCAGCCGATCGCGGGTGACACATGAGTAGATAATTCCGTTTATCTTCTCATGTGCCACCCGCGATCGTACCAATACCTAATAATTTATAACACTTGTCTAAATACCTAACTTATCTACTTAACCTACTATTTTGCCACTGTGCTAGTCTTTACCTAGCCACTTTAATTCGAATTCACAGGTTAAATAAACTAAATAGCTGGTTCGATTCCCCGCTAATGTAAAAGTTACTTAAATTAATCGTGTATGTAAGTTTATTACTCTGATGTATTCAGTTAAGTACCTATTCAGATTAGATTAGTACTAAGTTATTTAAAAAAATTTGGTATTTTCGTACCAAATTTCTTTAAATAAAATGAAAATACGTTAACCGACCATTGGTTTTAGTATTTCTTCGGTTCCACAGGCCGTTTCTGGTAAATATCGACTCGTCCGTCCAGATAACGTGCTCAATGAAACCAAGCACACGTTGTTGCGGGTCTGATAACCAACGGCGAAAACTTGCCGGCAGTCGTGATCGCCAGGAACTGATGTTTGCACTTTGTACACTTTGTTTGGGCGCATTCGGTTACACTTTAACACATTGTGAACACTCTTGTTCCATCCCGACGCCTTAACAATTTAGCAGTAGGTACTTTATAAAATTGTAAATTCATAATGCACGCGAAGCATTCCCGCGACTTTTTCCAAGGTACATTAACATGTCGCGATGTTCACGAGCACTATTAACGTACGCGTTAGGCATTATTAAAACAAAACAAGAAACACAAAACGTTACAACAATTTCATAAACAAAACGACAGAACTGTCGCTTACGCGCACATCAACACGAAACTGTTTTAAAAAACTAAACTAAGCCCACCGCCACCGCTACTTTCGGGTGTCCTTGCGGTTAGCACTTTGACCATTTCATAGATCATTAAACCGTTACGACATTCCCAACTTTAATTTTATGAGCTTAGTTATACCAACGAATAGTCTTCATATCTATATATGAAAAAATGACAACTATAACTTCTATAAGTTATAGTTGTTATTTTTTTAATACAAATAGACAATCAATTGACACAACAAGTAGTGTAGTAGTTCGTTATTACAAAAATGATATTGAAATTAATAAACGTACCTAATTGGGTACTCACACAAGTATAAACAAATTATCATCGTTGTCTTTGATTTTGTACAAGAAAATTAAAATGAAATGATACTGAATTATTTAATAGTTAAAATTAATTGCAATTATGATCGATAGTTAACTAATCTATCATAAACAATCTAAAAAATAATTATTTTACTTTATTTTAATTGACTGTCCTTTTTTAATCAGTTCAATACTTTGAATTTAAAAAGATGTAAGTCAAAACTATTAAAATTAATTCCAATTTTTATTGTGATTGCTGTCTCTAATTCTTATTTGGCCAGCAAATTTTAGTAAGTAAATTTCGGTTTGGAAACGCCAGAACATGTATGTAAAAGGGAAGGGTAGATTGATTGTAAATACAGTAATACCTAATGTATTGTTTCGTACCGAGCTCAATTAATAGAGTTCAGCGTCCGCGCGTTTTTCGATCTTCATCAGCTGATTTCAGGTATTTAATTTTCACTGCTGGTTTAATGTATTTTCATGATTTTATTCAATGAAATTATCGTTTCATTTAGCTGTACTAACATGATAGAGAATGAATAAAGCTAATTGAACGGCGTAAATTTTTTTTTCATCGTGATCGATTATATTTTTGTAGCAACAACAAAGGTATCCTTCGTAATATCGTCTGTCTTCATTTTTGGGAGCGTTTCAAAAACACCCGTTGATTTTATAGTGCAGTGTATCAAAACTAATTCTGCTGTTGCACAGGTTGAACAACCAATGTGTGCCTTGCTGTGCAGAGCGAGGAGTTTCCGCTAATTCAACTGCACCCGATTGCTGTCACTGTAATCCGGATAACGGTAAGATTGATCCTTCAAATAGATCGTTTATGTAAAATGGCCAGAAAACAGTGCCCTTTGCGTATTCACTTTTCGAAATCGAACTGTGAGCGACGCTTGTTCGGTAAGGTCGAAGCAGGCTAGGATTTAGTTTGATAGACACGAGAAAATCAGTACTTTTACTGAATTTTAACTCCAGCTGGTATCCAATGTAATTAAAAGGCTTAGTCAATTGTAATTTACTTTAATTTTGTATTTATTGTTACATCTTATTGATGATAAGTTCCTTCGCTTCTTTTTAAACTAATTAACTTTATTATATAAAGTTCAGAGCCGTGGTAGCTCAGATGGTTAGCGCCCGTTGTAAATATCACAGTACGCGAGCAAACCGGGATCGATCGCCGCCGACACCAATGAAATTGTTAATTGCAATTTTAAGTGCTGATTTACCACGTGCTCGGCGGTGAAGGAAAACATCGTGAAGAAACCTGCATGTCTGAGAAATTATATAAAGTTAGTTAAAGTTTCAGCTTATATACGTCCCACTGCTGGGCACAGGCCTCCCCTCATTTCTGAGAGGGTTTTAGGACAAGGAAGAGTCCGCCGCGCTACCTCAAAGCGTGTTGGCGAACTTCACATGTCTTCGAAATATATTTTTTTTTCTTAAGTTCAAATGTTACGCGTGATTGTTAACAGGAAAATATGAATTTGATCGAAATAACATAAAAAGTTTATTTCCTTAAATAATTAAAAAACTTATTACTATTTGAAAATATTGCCACTGTAAAGTTTATCTTTATAAGAAGCACAATTAAATAAATATTATTTGTAAACCTATATTAGGTTCATTAATTCACACCAATTTTAATAAGGACGCTACTCCCGTTCCTGGTTTGGACATTTCGTGTATGGCTTATAAGAGATTGTTAGTTGCGATCTCTCAAAAATATCAACATTTACCTGGGTACTACTTAGTCGTCTCTTATGACATCTACGGGACTAAAGAGGGAACTATTGAGTCTCTTACCCAATATATGTACATAAATACAAATTCGTTAAATCAAATTAAATCCAATCAAAAAGAAGGACTAGGTCAAAATAGCTACGAGTACAATATGATTAATTGTTGCAGGCGAATGCATAAACGCGTCTGTTGCCGGCAAGCGACGTATAGCTGAGTGGGGCGCCTTGCACACCGCGGAGAGGGAGCGTCCCGCTCCCAGTGTGGCGGCCGTCACACTGACTGTGTGCGCGGCGGCCGCCACCGTGTTCTTCGCAGTGCTTTTTGTTTTACAGGTTAGTTGATTTCGTATGCCTTAGTTGATAAAATAAAACTAAGATATTCTTGTTGTTTTTTTAAACATTTATTATTCAAATAAAATCTGAATATACCAGTACTTGATTACTATCCCACCTGATGGCAAGTGGTGATGCAGCCGAAGATGGTAAAGCGCACTGTCTTAACTTAACAAAAGCCTTTCACTCTTGCCTTGAAGACAAATTAATTGGATGGAAAGACCAATGCAGGCAAATTATTCCACTCTTTTGCTGTATGTATTATGAACGACAAAGCAAACTGATTGGTTCGAATGCGCGGTGTGTCGAAAACAAGGGGGAGGAGGCCGTGGTCCAATGATGGAACGGAGAGATAAGAATAGAGTCGTGTAATTCCTGCGCATGCTATCCGAAATGTGTGTTAAAACAGTTAGATGCGAAACAATAAAAACTATATATCGTTTTATTTCTAATTTTATCAAACTTTAATGTTAACTATAATTTATTTAAATTTGTTAAACACATAGAAACATATTTAAATATTATAAATTTCCTTAAAGATCGCCTAATTCGGTTAATGCAATGCAAACTTTATTGTTCTATATTATTATATTTTAGCAGATTTACAGAGTTTCCAAAAAGTTATAAAAGCACTGGGGCATCGCTTTAAATAGAAAAATTTTGACAAAATTAAAATATGTGATACAAAAATACGCATAATGTTTGTTTCCATATGAATATCAGTAACGATTTATGTCGATGTCCCAGCGCTTTTTAACTTTTTTGAATATCTGTGAATTTATTAAAATATAATTATTGCGCATAAATAAAACTATTTTATAAATATTGAATATGTTGACAAGGCTTATGTGAAGACAGAAACGCGAATAATAATAATAATAGTTAACTCAATAAGAAATCGTAAAGATGAAACTAAATCGCTATTTAAACATGTCCATTGCAGATATTCCATAATGAAACCGTGTGTAATGTATGAAAACTTATAGCAAATGAAAAGTTTTATTGTTTTATATGTCAATAATAATTTTTATTTTCATTTTATAAAGAAAAAACCATAGAATAATATAATACACAATAGAATGGGTGTCAATCTTATTTTGTACGAAGATAGGCGTCGCCGGGAGCACACATACAAGCAATTACGTCGTATTATCAGTTAATCACTACTACAAACCCGATTCGCTGTGTTGACAGACTTTAATACATATTTATTTGTAAATAGTCTCATTTAGTTTTATAAGTAGTTATAATATTTACAATCATAATACATACCGATACGTATCTATGCATCATATTTGTTAATAATTTCTTTAGTTTCCTCTCAAAGAATGAATATTTGTCAAAAAAATTCCAGCTTGACATTACAGCAAATGCCAAATAACTAAAATACTACTAAATTAACACTCAGCATATGGTGAGCTCAGATTTAATGTTTAAAATTCATTTGATCTCATGTGATATGATAATTAATGTACTTATGAGGTTTGTATCTATGTATAGATAATGTAATATAACATGTTTAACATGTTTTATGTGGTAGAGCCATGCTGCAGTTATATTTGTAGTATAGTTGTAACACGAATGGGCCGGCTCGACCGGGAAAAGACCACGCTCTCACAGAATACCAGAGTAAAATAATAGCTTAATGCTGCTGTGTTTCGTATGGTGAGTGTAGGGAACCGGAGACCCTTTTACTGGCAACGAGGCATTCCACCTAAGTCCTCGCGGATGACAACGCATCTGCATTTTGATTCGTAATCGAGGATAGATGTGATGCTGGCCAGAATACTTCGATGGACTGTGTGCTCGTTTGTCATCCTATCCTATAAAAAGACCTATTAATAAAAAAAGCTAATTTACTTAAACAAATGTATATGTTAATTTATTTTACAAAAAGAGAAAATGAAACGAAAAAAGATTCCTAGAAAATTTTTGTTAAAAGTCACCCAAATAAAGGTGAGAGTCCGTACTGTCACGTGCCAGGCACGCACACATATTACTTTCCGACTTAGCGGGTGCCGTTGTGTGCGTGCTGTGGCTCATGCATACGAGTCCGTACTGTCACGTGCCAGGCACGCACACATATTACTTTCCGACTTAGCAAGTGTCGTTGTGTGCGTGCTGTGGCTCATGCGTACGAGTCCGTACTGTCACGTGCCAGGCACGCACACATATTACTTTTCGTCTTAGCAAGTGTCATTGTGTGCGTGCTGTGGTTCGTGCGTATGAGTCCGTACTGTCACGTGCCAGGCACGCACACATATTACTTTCCGTCTTAGCAAGTGTCGTTGTTTGCGCGCTGTGGCTCGTGCGTACGAGTCCGTACTGTCACGTGCCAGGCACGCACACATATTACTTTCCGACTTAGCAAGTGTCATTGTGTGCGTGCTGTGGCTCATGCGTACGAGTCCGTACTGTCACGTGCCAGGCACGCACACATATTATTTTACAACTTAGCGAGTGCCGTTGTTTTCGCGCTGTGGCTCATGCGTACGAGTCCGTACTGTCACGTGCCAGGCACGCACACATATTAGCGGCGTTCGGTACATTACTTAGAAGATAGCCTACAATTCTGTTTTTACTATGGCTAAGGGCAGACTTAAGCTTAGGACAGTGTCAATGTGGTATTCGCTATAATGTGTAATGCTATTTTTGTAATTAAACTTAATTAGAATTTTTTTGGCAGATACGTAGCGCGCGTCGCCCAAAAACGACAACGCGCGGCGTCTTATATTCGCCGCTCGCCTGCACCGATGAAGGAGACGTAACAGTTTTAGCTTCGAACACTATATTTCCGGTCAAGCCTAATAACGAACATGAACATGAAGAAGAACCCCTGCTCGAACATTCCACATAACGCGCGCTGTGATCCTAGACGTAAGTGACGACCTTTATAACGGCAAAGTTTCCAGTTCAAATTGGTGATTACATTTGTTTAAAGTTCCAAAAACTTCCAAAATACACCCTTATTTGACTTTGATTATTTTTAAACAGAATTGCTTGGTGTTAAATATTACTTTGTTGTAGCAACGCTACTTTAGTCTAATCGAGAAACTCGGCATCACCAACTTGAACGTGATATTTGTAGGTGATCACAATTTTTTATACAACCGGACATGAATTCTATTACGGACAATATTGCTTAGTAAGCTCGTGAATGTGCTCAGAGGTGATCATCGGTAGTATTAAGTTCAATTTTAGTGACATTCGGTCGCAATTTTCCTAAGATATTGAATTTTCTAAGAAGGACCACTTATTCTTTGAGATATTAGGTCTTTGGATTTTTTGTCGGTATTTTGTGTATTATTAAGGAGACTAATGCTCGATGTCGTCGTAATGTACTCACACGTTTCTACATTGATATAGCGATGCCAAAATTGATTAATATGATAGACGACAAAAATACCGTATACCGTCAACTAATTAAAAGAAAAAACAGTTTTAAAGAAATAATTAGTACATTATCATAAATAAAATCAAGTATTATAGTCTTTGTAATACCTGTGTATAAAATTTAACGTAACAACATTTTACCATATTGTATGTTGGTAAGCCAACTGTAATATAACAAAATGGATATAAATTGTAAGTATATGATCAAAATATTCTGTTAAATAAAAGGCGAGAAACCTTAAGCCGGAAAAACATGTGATATAAGGCGCTTAGATCTAAAGTCGAGCGTTAAAATTTGGTTGCTCGTTAACGCCTTATTAATCGAAACTGGTCAAACTGCGTGTTTTCCTTTCCATTAATAATTATGTAATTTTATTAGTGTCCACATAATATTTTGAAGTTTCCATCAAGTATATACATTAAGAAACAAGTTCATACTTAATAATTTTCTGCTGCTAATACTTTTAGATTTTTAATTGAAACTTGAACTAGGTACTCACTTTAAAATGATGCTCAATATTTTTACCTTAAGAATTGCTATTATTATTCCGAAACGAGACTCTACCGGTGTATATCTATAAACTGTAATTCAAATATGGCTTTTTTAAGTTATCTTTGAGCCATATTCTGTGAATGATATATTAAATTTTAATATTTTCAACCCTAGTTAATTTTGTAGTGAACTGTCAAAGCTTCCTTAATTTTATCAGCAGAAACAAATCTATTAGAGTATGGATGCGTTTTAAATGCAGTTTCTCGCCTTTTTCAACTATTCTTATCTTCTATAAATAAAATATGTCATTTGAATATTTAATTATTAATAACTCAGGCCACAGTTGAAGGCAGGAGTTGATATGACATAATTTGATCTTCGACGCAATTGACTGAAACTCTGTCACAATTTTTATGTTAAATACTACCTATTTTAATTAATTATAATATAGTGTTTAGGTCCAAAAGTTACCATAGAAAACCTGTACAATTAATCAACAATTTCAAGCGAAAGGAAATAGAAAATAATTTTGAATAGGCAAATATACGTTTTAGTTTTAATATTTTATGTCTTCTTTTAATGTTTAAGTAGAAAAGCGTTGTTATATTTGGTTTCGACATACTTTGTCCTTTTGTGCTTTGAAACTTGATGAAGAGGGCTTACATTTTGCTCTTGAATTATCGCATCTGCTTCTGATGAAGCCAAGGTTTTAATTTGTTTTGTTATTAGAGAATTACCAATTGTCTCATTCTTAAAGAATCATTTAAAGTGATTCTTCTAAACTGTAGCATAATTTTTATAAAATATATCAATTTTTAATCTAAACATTTTGCCATTTGGATCTTAGTATGATTGTGAAGATAAATTTCACGTTTAAGTCCCATATCTATTTCAATATATGTTTAAATAATAGCTTATGAAATTTAAGTGTTACCATGTACCATCACAAAATGTATATAAAATTTAGCTAGATTGTTGAATTGTTTATAAAATGAATATATTATTGTCGATGATAACTAATATTATTAAATTGTAATTGTTTAAAATCGGATAGACACTAACGTTAGGTTATTTTGCTAATTCCGGTTAAAATTTTGTCAATTATGTGAAAATTAAATGTCAGGTAAACTTTTATGCGGCTTATTTTCTCCGTTTTTTTATTATTGTATGTACTTAGTATAAAACACTCTTGACATCTGATTTGGTAATTATAATAAGTTTTTCATATACATATACATATATTATATTTTTTCGACATTTTGATTGAATTTTAGCTTGATACTAAATTTTTGATTTATATTGCGATTCGATCCATCTGTATTGCGGTTTTTTATTTTGTTTTATTGGGAATCTTTTAATTGTAAATGTATTTTTGTATGAAATGTTCTATGTGCAAATAATATTTATAATAAAAGAAGTCTGTGTCAGATGTGATGTTTTATTTCAACCTATACTAATTAACCTCTCAAACCCCAACTCGTCGGATCCGACCAAGGCGATATTCCGTCGAATTGCAAGCGGTCGGATTCGACCGCGCATACCCACAGCACTTTAAACCATTAAAACTTATATTTAGATACTACATTTTTATGAAGAAGTTTAGCATTATAGAATCAATATGAAATTTTCTATCCTCTAGTGTAATAAAAAGTTTGTAGTCTATGCATATTTATTTATAATCTTCGTTCATTACGTACGCTATTTTCATTTGGATGTTGTGTTGATTTTTGGATTTTGCTAGTGTTTTATAACAATTTTATAATAAAACACTAATAAAAGTTTTTGTGTGAATATAATTTATCTTTTTAAGTAAGTATTATCGAGTAATATATAGATATATAATTGTGATTTTCACGCTGCCGATATCCGTATGTTATCAAAATACAATAGTCTTTTTGAAGTAAAATCTGACTTTTCTTTAAACTACAGGATAGAGAATTTTGTATAGATTTTATAATGCCAAACGTGTTTTTAGACAAGTAGTCTCTAAATATAAGTTTTAATGATTAAAGAGGTGTGGGTGAGTGCGGTTGCACGCGACCGCTCGGGATTTGACGAAATATCACCTTGGTCGGATCCATGCATGTTAAAGGGGCAACGGGCCGACCGTGCGACTCGAAGGACCAACAATCCATGGTGTTGAAGATTTCTAGACCGCCTTATCTTATATTTAATTTTCTTATCATGCGGTAAGGACTATACTTACACGACAAAATAGACATTAATTTATATAATTGATGGAATCCATTATAATACTTATGGACACCACACACGGTCAGTTCAACTGATCATTACAACTGATCAGTTCAAGCTAAAACTGTTGATATTTTTAAAAATATTGAATGTTCGATATATCTCATAGCTTTTAAATATGAAAGGATAACAAAAAAAGGCCTATCAAGAAACGTCATTTGTACACGATTACACAAAAGTGGAATAATGTATAAATACTACTTAATTTAAAGAGAACACTCCCGCCTCTGCCTCCCAAACTCTGCACTGTCACTGCTGCCTAGTCTTTTTTTTATAGGATAGGGTGACAATCGAGCACACAGTCCACCTGATGGTAAGTGGTTGCTGTGGCCCATAGACATCTACATCTATCCTCGATTACGAATCAAAATGCAGATGTGTTGTCACCCGTGAGGACTAAGATGGAATGCTTCGTTTCCAGTAAAATGGGTCGCCGGTTCTCTACACTCACCATACGAAATACAGCAGCATTAAGCTACTATTTCACGCTGGTATTCTGCGAGAGCGTGGTCCTTCCCCGGTCGAGCCGACCCATTCGTGCTACAACTATACATCTAATATAACTGCAGCATGGCTCTACCACGTATAATAGTCACACAGTGCTGGGTTACACACAAAGCCAAAATACTACTTAATTCAGGGCTATTTATCTGGATATATCTAATGGCTTTAACTAATAAATGCTGAGACCCCATGAACCTAACGGTACCAGCCCCACCCCGATCGGTCATTCGAGGAGGAAGTGCAAGGCGTTCCACAAACATTCGCCTTCACTGCCACAACCTGTATTATGCATAGTTCGAAAAATCACTGACATTATCGAGTGTTAGTTAGTGTTTGTGTTACACGAGCTGGATCCCGCAACTCGCAAGTGCGTATTTTGCGTGTATGTAAGAATTAATGATATTGGAGCCACGTTAAACCCCTCCTTAACGACTTTCCGATGTTGCCAAAGATCTTGGGGAGCGGCCCCGATACGCTGAGGCCTCTCTCCTCCCTGCTATTTCCCATATAATTAACTTCTCTCTGAATTCTGGAGTTTTCCGTCGCTTTTGCGTAAAGCTTACATTATACTTCTGCCAAAAATTTCTAATCCTTTACCTAATCACTTCCGACCTGTATCCATTCTTCCCTTTTTATCAAAGGTGCTCTAGCGTCTTTGATAAAGAAAGTTGTTTTATCTTCTCGAATATTTGTGGGTCCACTGTTTCCGCGCTCCTCAAAGTTACTGGTGACATTAGAGCAGGCATGGAGGAAACTAAAATCACAGTACTGGTTTTGGTTGACTTCTCTAACGCCTTTAATGCCATCAGTCACGACATCCTATTATCAATCCTTTCACTTTCTATGATCTCATCTGAGGCTTTGGAGTGGTTCTCATCTTATATTCGAGGCCGCCAGCAGTCAGTTCGCATTGACGAGTCCTAATCAAGTTGGTGTGACTTGCATGCTGGTGTTCCTCAAGGCGGTATTCTATCTCCGTTGTTATTTTCAATATTTATAAATCTCATTACGCCAAATCTTCAGTGTGCGTATCATTTGTATGCTGATGACTTGCAGTTGTACTCACACGCGAAGTTCGACTGTATATCTACAGCAATTGAGTCTCTTAATAGGGACCTAGAGTATATAAAGAACTGGTCTGACAAGTTTGGTCTTAAAGTTAACCCATCCAAATGTCAGGCTATAATAATAGGTAGCCAACGGATGATAAAGGA